TTACAGCTAGTCTATGACTTGGAGAAGAAAAGGAATGACTTTCAAAAGACATCACATTCCACCTCACAGGTTTGTTGTGAGCCTGAAATGCTGACACATGTAATGCACTTTGAAGAGGACAAGTGGTAAGTAATGAGTGAGTATTGGTATTATTAGTATTAATTATTGCTAACATGTCTTCCAATATTTTGAAGTAGGTGCTTTGGCTGACACTACTACCTTAAGGTGTCTAGCCTGAACCCTGTTTTGTAAGTCTCTATTTAAGCTATCGGTGGCAGGTTTTCTGTTACTTGCAGCTGAATGCATTCCTAACTGATAGATACTACTTGCATTTAGTCCTATATTTAAATATAGTTTCACATTTTATTGACACAAGTAACATTAATGATGCATCCCTTATGGAAGGTGAAATTATTACCTTAAAAACGAAGCTGAACAGATGATATTTGAGAAACGATGCCACAAAATTTTTCCGTTGTGTGAAATTATTCCATTGTGTAAATGTGCCCCATCTTTTTTATCCACTCATTTACTAATGGGTACTTGGGCTGTTTCCATAAATGGAAATTGCTAGAAGGGATGCTGCCAATTAGATCTTGAAAGAAAATGTTGTTCCTCAGCACATGCCCAAAGTAGCAATTTGTCTCTAAACCTAAAACTGCCTACTAACTATCTCTGTTCTATTGAGGTTGGCTCAAAAGAATGGAGGGAGTGCAATGAAAGACTGCTTTGAACCCACAAACTTGTAGAATCAGTAAGTAGGTTACAACAAATATGCAGCTTCAAACACAGGCTACCTTTTATGAAAAAGGAGAAATGACTCAAAGGATGAAATAAGAAACCCAGAGGGTAACACTGGAGCCACAGAAACTTATTTCCAGGCATTGAGTCCTAATGAAGGAATTGTCACCTGTGCCCAGCTGAATTTTAGAATTACTATGGACCAGTAATTTTTGTGAATCTGCTTTTCCCCCTCTTTTTGAACAGTGATATCTCTTCTGGTTATCCTATGCCTGTCCTACCATGAACTGTCAGTTATATATTTGATTCACAGGTCTTCAGATTGAGAGAAAGTGTGCTTAAGGACCTGTATTACAACTATATGCAATTATATGAATGAACCTCACAAACATTTGAGTGAAATAAGTTAGGTACAAGATACATAATTCTATGTATTGATATATAAAATCCCAAACAGGCAAAAGTTACCTATGCTATAAAAAAAAAAAAAAAGTCAGGATAATTGTTATCTTGGAGAGAAGATGGATGGTGACTGGAGGGGGTTTAAGGAGTTCTGTAGGGTACTGGACTTTGAGAGGAGGGATCTTAGGACAGGGTAAGGATATTCTGCATGTGAGATGAATGTAAGTAATTAAGCCCAGAGGGCAGAGTGGTGGTTGAAATTATGTTCAAAGGTGTTTTTTTTTAAGGCCATTCAAAAGGTAGAGCCTCATTCCCCTTCCTTGCGTGTGGGCTGGACTTTGTGAATCATTTCAAAAGAATAGAATAAGATAAAAATGACAGTATGAGTCACAACACTATAAAAAGTAGACATGATAATTCCAACAGTGGTATAGTCTGAGTCCACTTAGAGAAGGGGCAATCAGTCATCACAACCTATTGTAGAATTCCAAACTTATCAAAACTGTCAATTAAATGTGAGAACAGAATAAAAATATTTTGAGACACGCAAAGCCTCAGCATATTTGACTATATTCACTCTTTTATTAGGGAGTTATCTGAGGATATACCTCAGCAAAACAAGAAGAATAAAAATAAAGAACTCTTTGTATTTTCTGGTCAATTTTTCTGTAAACCTAAAACTGTTTAAAAAAAAAATAAACTTCATTAACAAGAGGAAGGAATGAAGGAAGGGAGAGAGGGAGGGAGGTAAAAGACATGGAGGAAACTTAAATACATCTTGCTAAGTGGAAGAAGCCTCTCTGAAAAAGCTGTATACTTTATGATCCCAACTATATGACATTCTGAAGAAGGCAAAACTATAGTCAGTAAAAAGATCACTGGTTGCCGGGGGTTCAGAGGAAGAGGAAGTGAGGATGAGGTGGAGCACTGGGCATTGTTAGGGTAGTGAAACTATTCAGTGTGATACTGTAATGGTGGGTACATGACATAATGCATTTGTCAAAACCTATGAAACTGGCCAGTGTTGCTAAGCAGTTATGGTGTCAGCCCATGCACTGAAGGGTTATGGGTTCGATTCCTGGTCAAGGGCACATACCTAGGTTGCAGGCTCAACCCCCGGCCCTAGTCACCTAGTCAACCAATAGATGTGTCTCTCTCACATCTCTCTCTCTCTCTCTCTCTCTCTCTCTCTCTCTCTCGCTCTCGCTCTCGCTCTCGCTCTCGCTCTCGCTCTTCTCTCTCTCGCTCTCTCTCGCTCTCTCTCTTTTTTCTTTCTCTCCCCCTCCCTCTTTCCCTTCCACTTTCTCTAAAAATCAATGGGAAAAAACATCCTCGGTGAGGATTAACAAAAAAACCACAAAACGTATGACATTGTACAATATAAATAATAAACCCTAATATGTTAATAATGTGTTAGTAATATCCAAAACTCTCATACACTGCCCTAAAAGTTCATGTAAATTGATATAACCACTTGGGAAGACTGACAGTATCTCCCAAAGCTGATCATTTAAATAACATGTGACCTATCAGTTATAATAAATGTATCCATATTAATGCAAAATATTAATAACTGTAGGCTGGGGGTCATGGGAGACTCTATACTTTCTGTGCAATTTGTCTCTAAACCTAAAACTGCCCTCAAATTTGCTTATTAAAAATATAAAAAATTAAAATCTCACTTATAAAAAGTGTTACCGCTAGGGAAGGGGTGTTTGTTGGTGAGGTAGGGATATTTTTCTTATTATTACAGTAAGTTCTTACATGCTATTTAAGATGTATGTGGGTGTGGGGAGGTTACATCATGTGTATACATTATTTGGTTTAAATATTTTTAATTTTTATAAAAGTCTGTTTACATATCAGGATGGCTAAAATGAAAAAGACCAAAGATAGCAACTAATGGCAAGGATGAAAAATATTCAGAACTCTCATACACTGCTCTAAAAGTTCATGTAAATTGGTAATAACCACTTGGGAAAACGGTCAGTATCTACCAAAGCTGATCATTTGAATAACATGTGACCAAGTAAATTCACTCCTAGGTAAATGCTACCCCATCCTTCCCACCAAAAGTTCACCAAAGAACATGTATTCTAATGTTCATTGACATTTTAATCATAATTTTGCGCATCGGGCCTGTAGCGCATATACACACACACTTTACAGTTAACTTCAGTACTTGGAAGAATCTCAATGTAACATTTCTATGTATACTTTCAAAAGCAAAAGAAGTCTAGTTTTGTGGGGGGGTTTTTTTCCAGTAGAATATTTATTCAAACAATTGTGTTTGAAGTTGTGATCTTTACCTTCCATGTGGGCTCTGGATATGTTTATAATGTTATAGGTTATGGTTTGGAGTGACACTTATCAAAACAAGTGAATGTGGACAGTGATCTTGTGAAATCTGAAATCAGTCAGTTTTCAGCTTCTTATTACTGGATAATTTCTATCTAAGAAAATTCCTTTGGCTTGCTCATCAAGGTAGAATGTGTTCTCTGATTCTTCATGTCACAAGGAATTAGAGCTGAATTAAAGGCTTTAGACCCAAATCTAAAAATGAGTATCAATGCTTCAAATAGGATCTTTTTTACTTTTAGTAATTTTTGCTGCTTCAAACATAACTATTGTACTCAGTTGTTTCAACGTAAGATGTACAAACTTCACACAAATTAATTCCAATTTAGTTCTGTACATGCAGATCAACATGGTACTTAAGCAACCTTTATGAATTTACTCCAAGTGAAAACTTAGTGTGGAAATTTGGCAAGTTTTTAGGTCAGTAACTTTAATCAATTACTCTTATAAATTCTCAGATTGTTTAAAACACATAGCAGCTCATTTTAAACATGTTATGAAGGTGTTTTTGAAGGGTGATAAAAGAAGACCCCACAATTTTAAGAATGTCTAAAAACCTCCAACAATGAAAACTGTCTAATAAATTAACTTAATCCAACCTCCTGCTATATAGTCAGCAGGCTAAAAAATAATACAGATTTATCTTTAATTTAACCACAAATTACCTTCTCTTGTCTTTCAGCTATTCTCTTCTTGGGATGCTAAACTCCCAAAGGACCACTCTCAGCATTATATATACTTATTCTCAGCGCCCATAGCTCCAATGAACAGCATTTATTATTTCCTATGTGTCTGCCATTAGTATGCATTTTAACCCTTTCACTAACCTATCCTCTTACTAACCACATTCGAGACTTAAGGAAGCTACGGCACAGGACGTTTATGTAACTTACCCAAGAGTTCTCATGCAAACGAAAAAGCCTTTATTCTCTCCCAGGCGCTGATTCACTGCTGTTAAATTATGCCGACTCCATTTTTTATGGAACTCAGGTACAAAGACAAAATCAGGCCACACAGAGCTGTGAATCCTGCCCTTGCTAATATTCCACTCTACCTTCTAACCGTCATGAAAAGTCTAGCTCTAGTCTGACTCTGTGAAAACAACCCTTACTGATGCTCCTCATATGGAATATACTTTTCTTTCAGAATATGGGAGCATGTGAGCTTTAGAATTTCTACCACTACCAAGGGGGACTTGGAATCAGGGCTCAAAACTAAATGGTGATGCATTTTTAAAGTCTTTATTGCTGACAGACCGGGTAATGGGTTTCAGCATGAGGCACTGTCCTGGAGATTCACTAGATCGTCAAAGAGCTGATGTAACATAGATTCCCAAGATAGCACAAAACACGTACGTATCTCAAAACCTCCAGGCGTTTGAAGTTCACAAAAAAGTCAAAATTTATCCCATAGCATATTAAAAGGCTTTCCAATTCACATGTAAACATAAATCCCATTTCAAAAACTTTTTAGCATCATTAGAAAACACAGACACTGTGTATTTTCTAAAATTTATTTACAGTTAATAAATTAAAAAGCAAAGTACAACCAGATTGTAAAATCTTACTCATATGCACATCAAACTGTCCAAAAACATTCACTTCCATTACAAATAATTGCCTTATAATGCACTTAAGACATAACAGCCCATCAAGAAATATTTTACACACTGATAAAATATTATGAATATATGTCCATTAAAAAAACACACAATTTAAAGGGTGCTGTGGCATCCCTTAAAACAACAAAAAACTCTAGAGTTCAAAATTGCTCAGTTTTTTGTATTCAAATATTTTTAATGTTTTTTTAATTGTTTTTTATTGAAGAGTTTTCAGATTTGCACATAGCAAATCAATAGGTGTCAGCCACCGGCTTAAGTTACACTTGCCCGAGAGGGTACTCAAACTTTGACAAAATAAATACACATCCCAACAATGACACTTTGCACTATCAACAATGAGACTTGCCCTCAACAATCATAACATAAAAATAAGTTGCTGGTTGACAGGAAGGATAAAAAAATGACCTGGGGAATTTCAAAAGGTTATTTTAAGGTGCCAGTCACCACATTTAGGCACTCAAGAGTTAAAAACGAATTAGAAGTATAGCAAGGTGATACACTTCCTTCTGGCTTCCCCTCTCTACTTGTGCCATGTGAGATATGAGAAGGTAAGAGAATGCATCAAGATCACAGGGTTTCTTACAAAAACTACCTACAAGCTAAGCTACAGACTCATGTTAGAGGACAGAAAATGGCTGCCTCACAGTGAAGGCCACCATGCCAAGTTCATCTTCACATTCTGCCCCAAAGTACCCATAAAATACTTTCACTTTCCTATTCATATGCTAATAAACTATTATTAGCTGTTTCTTCACATTTTAGAAGGTGTAACATATGCTAACCTTGGCAAAATAATGATTTTTTTTACATCATTTTTACAAACTAAAAATGGCATGAATTTTTAGTCAATCCAATAACACTGTATTCAGGAAGGGCAATTATATCCAAACAAAAGTCAGAAAGCCCAAGTAATCCAAAGAAGCATTTATGTGAGTTCAAGTATACTAAAGAAACAAGGCATAAAAGAAAAAAATATATTAAGAATCTGTTACAATAAATGCATGGTGTCAGTGAACGTTTGTTTTGTGCCGAGGGAAGTTATCCTCCCAGCTGAGTCTTAATTTCAAAATCCTCTGGGAAACTATCTAGATAAGCTGCATGTTGAAATTATTCTAATATGGCCATTAGATTTCTTAATTATTATAAAACTATATACAAAGTGAAGTGGTACAAATACAAATGTCTTCCCCCTCAGGTGCTAGTTAGCCAAAGTCAATAGAGGGGGAGAGGGGAACGGATGAGGAGAAACCCTATATAAGTGAAATATCATTGGCAGTGGAAGCTAACCAAAAGAATATAGGTAAGCTTCCTATCACACAAATATAATTTAATATTCTCCATCTTCCAATTATTCACTTTTATTTATTCACGTGACAGTGTTTGTAACAATGCATTACTGCTGACTAGTGAATAAAAGAATATGATGCTTTACTGGAAAAAAGTGGTATAAAGTTATATATATATGTGTGTATATATAAAATACTTTTTTAACAAAACAAATACACTGAAATTGAAGTCACAAAGCTCCTACCATGGACTATTAAACTTGGGGGGTGGGGAGGGAGGGAAAATCATTTCAGAAAGCTATACCATTTAAATTCTAAGAACACAAGAGTAAAAATTGCAGCTCTCCTTTTTCTCCTAAGAAGCTACCAAGCAGAGATAGACCTTACTATTGAGTATTACATATGTCAAGTTCCAGCCCAGTACAGATCGCTCCATTGCAGAATACTCAAATTTGAAATGATAGTGGTACAAAAACACTACTTGACCCTTTATAGATATTACAGTAAAATCTGGCTGTGGCACCACTGGCTCAAAACCATTAAGTCTTGCTGCTACCAATGACCAAAGGCACTTGAATAATCTAGAGTAATACGCTGGGCCATTACGGTATAAACACTATGTATTATAAAAGTGTAAAAGGAGCGTCAGAACTCTGTGTGGTTGCCTGTGGTCTTCAGTTACCGAAGACCCGTAACTGCAAACATGAATGTAAGTGAAAAAAAGATAAAAAAGTTAACTGGTGGAGCAAAAAAGTCAACTAACATGTTTATAAAAGTGGTGCTATTAGTCTGGACATTTCTTATTATCCAACAACAAAGAGAGAGAGAGAAAATTAGGTCTACTTTGCCCCGAGAAACTTCAACCAGGTACTTATACCAAGAAATGCCCCCCCCCCCCTTCCAGACTGTATTCCGAGGATTTTAGTGAGTATTCTATCATTTTAATCACAAAAATGGATCATCCATTTCTCCTATTGGACTCCCATTTTAAAATAAATTATCCTTGAAATATTCCTGGATTTATATGTTACACCGTACAAGGAGGCCAAATCATTTCTAATCGGATTCCATTTCTTTAACCAACACGTGTTTTTTTATACTAATGCATTCATATTTTTTTAAAATCACAAGCCAGGTGGTTTCAATGCACTTTTTTTTTATTCAATGTTTAAAAGTTTTAACAAGTCAACTTTTCCTAAACAAAACTTTGAGTTTCTACCATTTTTCTTTAGAAGCTCAGTAAATATAAACTTTTAAGTTTCAATAGAAAACATCTTTAGAAACACCTTAAAATATAATTAACACAGCTGTTATTTTTTGCATCGCTCTGCTTGTAATCACAACTGCGCCCAGCGAAGTTCAAAAGCCGTACAAAATCCTCGCAACGATTTCAAGAGTCATAAGCTTGGGTCGCTTAGGAAACATCCTTGGTCAACGCATTGGAATCCAGTTCACATCAGGAGACGAGTGGGATCCAGAATACCCTGAGCACAAACTAGTGCAACACCACAAAACATGTCCAGAAGAGGGGTGGCAGTCAAAGAGGAAGAGGAAAAAAAAAGAAGAAGGGTATCGAGGAAGAGGAGGGGTATAAAAAAGGGGTGAATTCTGACTTTATTACACAAGCACGAAACCAAATTCCTTTGGAAAAATAAATTCCTTCTTCGGAGGGCTTGCAGACCAGTGAGGTAGAGTCCGAAAGGAGGAGAGAAGGGATCGATCTGCCCCGGCAGGAGTCCCAGGTGGTGGGGTCAGAAGACGGGGGGGGCCCCTCCGGCGGGGCCAGCGGTGTCCTCCCTCCGCAGCCCGGGGTCCCGGGGTCCCCGACGGCAGGCGGCGCCGCGTGCAGGGGCGCAGGGCCGGGGGCGCGCCGTCCGGTGACTTCCTCGCCTTCTTCGCCCGTAAAGTGCACTGGGGGACGGAGTCCTGGCCGGGTCTGTAAACACTCGACTGACACTTGTCCATCCCAGCAGGCGGGAGCTCCGTCCGTCCGAGGGTCGGGGAGGCGGGGGGTCTGGGGGCCGCGGCTCACGCCCGCGGCACCGGGAAGCGGCGCAGCCTCACCACGGGCTCCAGGTTCACCCGCAGCACCTGGCGCGCCCGGCGCCGCACCGCCGCCAGGCCGCGCTCGCCCCACACGTCGCCGCCGACGCGGATGGTGGGGAAGGTGGTGAGCGTCGGGGTGGCCGCCCTCCAGATCTCCTCCAGGGTGCGGCCGCCGAAGCAGGGCCCGAGGGCGCCGGGCTCGGCCGCGCGGCTCTCCCCGGGGCCCGGCGGCGGCGGCGGGGACAGCGCGGACGGCGTCGGCGTGGCGTCGGCAGCGGCGGCGGCTTCCTCCTGCGGGCGGCGGCCGCCCGCGCTCCGCGCCGCCTCCTCCGCGCCGCCCTCCGGGCCGCCGGCCTGCGCGCCGGGCCGCGGGCGGGGGGCGCGGGCGGCTCGGGCACCAGGGCCCGGCAGGAGGCGTAGCCGTAGACGTCCTTGCTGCGCAGGATGCGCGGGGAGAACTGGTGCTTGAGGCTGCACAGGAAGCTCCAGAGCTCCGCGTCCGAGCTCATGAACTCCGTGCTGCGCGGCATGAACAGCTTGAAGGCTTCGCCCAGCGCCTTGGTGGTGTCGGCCAGCGACAGCTGCGAGCGCGAGTACACCACCTTCTCCTCCTGCGCCTGCGGCCCGGCGCCGCCGCCGGCCCTCCCGCCGCCGCCGCCGCCCCGGAAGGCCGGGGCCGGGGCCGCCGGGGGCCGCCGCCGCCTCTTCCCGGAGCGCCGCATCGGAGGCCGCCGCGCCCGCCGCACGCCCGCCCGCCCGCCGGGCCCCGCCGCCGCCGGCTCCTCCCCGCGCTCGGCTCCGCGGCGGCGGCCGCCGCTGAAGGCGCCTACCGCCCGGCGCGCCTTTCGCTACTTTTCTCGCCTCGGCCGCCGCCCCTCCCCCTCCGAGGGCGGAGGAGGACGCGGGGGATCCCGCCGCCGCCGCCGCCGCCGCCGGTGCAAGATGGCGGCCGGCGCCCACCCCTGGGCTTTGTCATTGGACGGCGCCTCGCCTCCCGGCTCCGCTTTCTTCTCCTCTCCCGCTGCCAGGCCCCCTCGGCCTTTCTTTAAAGACGCCTGGCAGGCCCCGCCCCCGCCGCCGCCGCGCCCCGCCCATTGGGTGCTCTCCGGGAGGGGCGTGGCCAGGGGGGGGGGAGGTAGAGGCCCGCTCTCGCAAGATGGGGGCCGGGTGGGTGGCGGTGGGTGGTGGCCCTTGAGCCCAAGTCAACTGTTGGGTGGGGACTAGGTAGGGAGCCATGTCCAGAGGCAGCGGGGCCATGGGCTCCATCTTGGGGTGGGGGTGGCTCTCTCTCAGCATGAGGGGGTCTCCATTGGAGATGGAGATGGAGCTGGGAGAACTACTAATGTCGGCTGTGGCTTCCTGTCCAAGGGACATGGAGGTTTCAAGGAAGAAGGAACGGGCCTGTCACTCACCATTCCCCCCATCTGAACCCTCAAAGGCCTAGTCTTGGGGCAACGTCACCCGACTTTTCCCTCTTGGGGCCCCCCAACTCATTTCCAGCAACCCCTGGGAGAGTGGAGTCCTTTGGGGAACGGCGGAGGCATCCGGGAGATGGAGGATCTCCTGCTAGATGTAGACAGTGGAGCCGCCTCCATAGTTAGGATACTCCTATAATACTACATACCATTTGCTGGAGTGGGTCAAAGATCGATGGCGGCAATGAAGTTGTTTTAGAACAGGACGATTTTACAATTTACATTGCCATTTTTCTCTTTCATGCCCTTCAATTTTTAAAAAAAATATATTTTTTTTTTATTTTTCACAGAGAGGAAGGGAGAGGGATAGAGAGTCAGAAACATCCATGAGAGAGAAACATCAACCAGCTGCCTCCTGCACACCCCCCAATGGGAATGTTGCCGGCAACCAAGGTACATGCCCTGATCAGCATCGAACCCAGGACACTTCAGTCCAAAGGCCGATGGGGCATCCGGGAGATCCACTGACCCAAACCGGTTTTGGCAACCCTTCAATTTTTGAGGTTAAAAAAAAATTAAAAATCTAATACTCAGAATTTTGAGGTAGGCATGAACATTTCCCCCTTCAGTGAGCATCTTATTTTGCAGTAAGAGAACTGAAAAAGCTCAGAAGTTTTGTGATTTGCATATAGTTGCTAATGGTTCCTTCAGATAATTTAGCTGAAAGATGCCTAGTTCAATCTCTCTATTTCACAGATGAGGAAATTGGGACCCATCGAGGTTCATTAATACACCTTGCTGATAGGCCTGGGACTACAGGACTTTGGATTCTTAATCTAGTGACCTATACATACCGTATTTTTCGGACCATGAGACACTCCGGACCATAAGACGCACCAGTTTTTAGAGAAGGGAAATGAAGAAAAAAAGATTCTGAAACAAATAGTGTCCTAAAGTATTTTATGTGCATTAAAACCCAACATCACAGTCATAAACACATGTAATCAACCCTGTAAACAGCAGCATTTAGAACCATTTTAGAGCCGGGCAAGCACACAGAGACCACACAGAGCCGGGCAAGTAAAAAAAACTTTTTTTTTTTTAAGTATATGTGTAGGCTATATTTGGACCATAAGACGCAGGGACTTTTTCCCCCCACTTCTGGGGGGAAAAAAGTGCGTCTTATGGTCCAAAAAATACGGTATTTTAGAGGGTTTTTCTGTTGTCCTGTTGGGTCTCTAAAAGGTTCAACGGGAAATTATGTGTACATGGAATACCCAAGGGACAGAGCTGTACCCTCATTTCCACTTCCACATTACCCAGAATTAAACTGTTTTTATGTGTCTTATATTGGACTTACTGAAAACATTTTGTTTGAACCAGATAATACTTTGTTGGTTAGTTTCAATAATAAAAGCAAAACTTCCTACAAGTAAACAGTTCTCCACCTACCAAAATCATGGTAACCTTATGAAGAGAAAACCATTTTCCTAGAAAAGCACACCCTGATCTCAGAACAAGGTTAGGGAGCAATTACCAGCTTCCTTCATCATAATAAGTTCATGGCAACTCTGGGAACACAGAGTAATAGAAAATTTGATTAACTTCCATTGGAATGCCCCTACATATGACATAGAAAAATCTCACATATTAAGCTAGTGGAACTTTAAAGGGACTTCTTAATGGAAGAAATGGGTAAAATAAGGATTTATGTACTCCTGGATTCTCGTATTGTTTTCCTCTCCCTTCCAGGTTAATAGTATTGTAAGTACTAAGGGTTTTTTGCCTCAACTATATACCAGGAATCTACACAAACTTACAGAATTGATTTCAGTTAAGAGGATAAATATTCTTTCAACACAATTTTTATTTTCATAAAATAAAATCTTAACAACTGGCTGAGTATGTAATAGTTCATTTTTATAATACATACTCATTTAATTTACTTAAAGCCAAACAATATTTTTATGAAATATTTTTAGTATCATGTTAAAGCGCTTAAGTTATTATATACTTTTAAATTTGGTATTGTTTGATCTCTCTATTTCTCTGTTGTTTTTTTATTTCTTAATTTCTACATTTTTTTCTTCTGCTTTGCTTGCCTCAGTCTTAAAAAATGACTCCTCGCCTATTCTACAAAGTAAAATTTACACAGAATGATGATATGTTTCTTCTTGTTTCTGGGGCTTTCCTGAGACACTATAAAGTTTATGGAAGTTGACAAATTAAATTTTTGTTCTTGAAGAATAATAGTTTAAATCCTCAGTTTATCCCTTTATTTCTCAAGGGAAATGATGCTTCCTTTTTCTGATAAATGATGGATAATAAAAATAAAATATCTAGCTATGTGTATTTCTGAATTTGTGTAAAAACTGAGTCCAAGCAGAATAAGCGATTAGAGAAATTAAAAATAAAATATATCTCTTAGCTATCCAGAACCTTTAAGATCCCACTTCTATGAAAGTAATTTAATTCTTGGAAAGTGACCAAAAATAAATAGTATATGTGAGCCATTGTATCAACTCTGGAATCAAATAGACTTGGAATCAAATAAATCTTTACAGCAACTATCCTTGAACACTTTTTAAAATCTTCCTGAGCCTCAGTTTTCTAATCTATGAAATGGGCATAAAATTTCTACTTCAAAAGATTGTTTTGAGGGTTGTATGAGATAGCATCAGTAAAACATTTACTGTATTTTGATCACAGTAAGTATCCAATAAAGAATGACTATTCTTGTTTGTCTTTTTTTTTTTTTTTTTAATATTTTATTGATTTTTTACAGGGAGGAAGAGATAGAGATAGAGAGCCTATCTGAGCCAAACGGGTTTCGGCATATTCTTGTTTGTCTTATCTAATTATAAGGATTTTACTTAGTTTAGCCAACATATTTCTATTGTGCAGTGCAAGATTTTAAAAATAGTAATAAATTGATAAGGAGAAAATTAAAATGTTCAAGTAATAGGAAAGAAGGCAGGAAAAAGTAAAGAAATGAAAAATACAGACAGAAAACAAAATAAAATGAGAATAAATCTATCACCATAACATTGTATACGAATGCTTACTGATCAGATGGTAAATGGACCACGCAATTGACCAGACTTGAAATTAGTAAGACCTGAATTAACTAAAATTCTTTGTTCTTCTGGTCTACTTAAAAGATTTCCCTTATCTTTATCTATTTCTATTAATCAAAATCTATTTCCATTTTATCTTTATCCATTGTCCATCTTCTAGAACTTCATAAAACCATCTTAAAAACTGTTTTTAGATAGCAAGATCTTCAAAGTAAGCAACCTAATACTGTTAACTCAAATTTAAAGCCAAATAAAAACCCTAAATTTTTCCCCCACATGAATTTTCCCAAAATTATGTATGCCTTGCACTTACTGTACTTGGGAGTTTTTACACTTATCTTTACTAAATTTCATCATTTTAGTTTCAGTCCAACATTCCTATCTATTGTGATACTTTTGAATCTGGGTTCTGTCATGTCTGATTTTATTATTCCTTTCAGTAAATTAAGCAAGCATCCTTCCACCCTAAACCAAGTCATCAGGGCCACAACCAGTTAGCACAGACTTACTGACAAAGACCTATGTCACTCTACTGAGCACTTGTACATGCTGATACACATCCACTTTGGGGGTATGGTTCATCCATTAGCCTTAAGCCTGCCTTAAATTGTCATGAAGCTCATACTTTCTTATCCAGGAATATATTATAAAAAACTTTGTCACATTTTTGTTGATATCAAAATATACAGTTGACCTGGCTGGGTGGCTCAATTGGTTGGAGTGTCGTCCATACTCCAAAATGTTGCGGGTTCGATTCCCTATCAGAGCAATACCTCGATCGCTGATTTGATTCCAAGTTGGGGAAACTATGGGAGGCAAATGATCAATGTTTCTCTTCTTCCTCTAAACATATCCTCAGGTGAGGATTAAATATATATATATATATATATATGATCTGTAGTCCTTCCCCTAATCTACTGAACCTGGTATCCTTATCAAAAATGAAATGAAGCCATCACATAATTTTAAAAATAAGTGTACACCTGTTTGATCTCAACTGTAGACCCCACTTGTCCTTTCCTTCTTCTTAATAATTTTGGGGCTCAGGTGCAGTTACATATAAAAATAATTAACCGGTTTGAGACCAATTGTATCAAATAAGAAGACTATTAATATACATATACCTAGTCTGAAGCAAAATTTCCTGCCAAACTTCACCACAATGTATTCCTAAAACGTCTGTTCACTCAGTCATTTAAATAATTTATTGAGAGTCTACTATATACTAAGCTGAATGACAGGGAATAAACAGTGTGCAGAACTATATCAGGAATCTGCCACAGGATCCCTCCAGGCTTGTATTATTAGTTTCTTATTTCTGCTGTAACAAAGCATCACAAACTTGGTCTCTTAAAGCAACACAAGTGTAGTACCTTACAGTTTCGGAGGTCTGCAGTTTGACACTGGACTTACCAGTAGGAGGCTATCATCAAGTCATCAGCAGGACTATGTTCTTTTCTGAAGGTTCTGAGAGCGAATCCATTTCCTTGCCTTTTATCTTCTAGAAGCCACGGACTCTCCTTATCTTATGAACTCATCCTCCATCTTCAAAGG